TTCCCCATCCCTCCTGAATGTGAGCCTGCTGCCAAGAAGAAGAGAGGAGGTCAGTGTCTCTGTAATACATCTGGTGTAATATGTAAACAATGTGTTCATTAACAGTTAAACAGTTCATACACAGACTGCATTCTGAACAGGAAAAGGTGGCCTGGCTTCCTAAGCTTCCAGACAAAGGCATGAAGCCTTCACAGTTTGAACCTGCAGCTGTGGTTCGGTAGCTGAGGCCTGAGGTTTTCTAGAACAGACCAAGGACCCCATGGTTGATAGACAGATGGCACAGGGACGCCCTGCTACATATATTGTAGTGCGTGCTAAACCAGGGTTCCTATAATGCACTGTAGTATCTCGTCACCGTGCAGAAAGAAGTCCTTAAAGTAACAGCTTTCAGTCTCCTTGAAGGGAAATCCAAACTTGAGATACTAATCAGAATATTTTCAGCTCTTCTCTCGTTTGTGCTTACCTGTAACCTAGCTGCTGAGTCAGCAGCAGTTGTAGAAGGCACTTCATCAGTGGTTTCTGAGCTGGAAGGGATGTCACAGTCTCATGCTCAGGAAGTTACAGAATGATCCACTGTGGCTCATAAGAATGCCATCAGTGTGGTTGAATTGTTTTAATGGATTTATTTTATTCAAACCTTCAAACTATTATCAGACAATAATTTGGTGGCCTCAGCAGTGCAGTGGGGTAGTGCACTACAAGGCTAACATACATATCAAGCTTGTCTGAAAATGATACAGACTTACTATATCATGATCTGGGGAGTGTGTGACAGATATTAAACATACTAAGTGTTGACATTCTGTGTGTGTTGAGTGCAGGTGGACGCAAGCCCAAGACACACCAGCCGGCTTCCAACGGCTCCTTTGAATTGGGGATTAAGAAGAGACCGCGGGAGGGAAAAGGTTTGTCTCAGCTCTCAAGTCAAAGAAGTGCACGCAGGGGTTGTGCTTAATTCTATACAAAACAGACCTATAGAAATATATACAATTCTATACAACTCTGCTCTGTACCGTGCAGTCAAAAGAAAGGACTGTATGAGCAGATCTACACACTATTGCAACCACATGAAATAAACTCCGTACTCACTGAATGAGCCACATTAAGATGAAAATCAGAAAAATCATGGACATGGCTCAAATGTTTGACTGTATCTTTTGTCCATAACAGTGGCAGTACATTATGCATCATCATTTGTTTTATGCAACATCAAGTCCTGGATCATGTAACTGTGCTGTGTGTTCTCAAGGCAACACCACCTACCTGTGGGAGTTCCTGCTGGAGCTGCTGCAGGACAAAAACACCTGTCCCAGGTACATCAAGTGGATGCAGAGAGAGAAGGGCATCTTCAAACTGGTCGACTCCAAGGCCGTGTCCAAACTGTGGGGCAAACACAAGAACAAGCCAGACATGAACTACGAGACCATGGGCCGAGCCCTGAGGTCAGCCCGTCCTCTACACACCCAACTGTGAAGTCCTGAACAGAGTCTGCCTGTCATATGTAGGAACACAGCTTTGATATCCGTGTGTGTGTGTGTGTGTGTGTGTGTGTGTAGGTATTACTACCAGCGAGGCATCCTGGCCAAAGTGGAGGGTCAGCGACTGGCCTATCAGTTTAAAGATATGCCCAAGAACATCCGGGTGATCGATGACGAGGAAGACGGAGAGGAGGTGGAGGACAGTGAGGGCGTCATGTCCAGCCAGCAGCGGGCTCACCAGCAGGGCCCCGCCAGCCTCGGCGCAAACTCGCCCGCCACCACCCAGCCTCAGCAGACCTACGTCACTGTTATCCCCGGCAACGCCACCACCAGGTATCACTGTATCATAAACATGTTTGTAGTAAGGTTTAACTCAGACAGATGGTTCATACAGGACAGATGGACTCTGAGATTGTGAAAGAAAAGGAATATGAATAGAGAGTTTAAACCTTATCATCTGATTGGCTGAGTGCTGATCATGTGATTGCTGTTGAAACGATAGACTTGTATCATGTGAGCAGTAAGTATGTCTTTAATTGTGATAGGGACATCAACATTTCTCTATTGGTGCTTCGAACGTGGTTCTTCTTCTTCTCTCTTTAAAATGCTTCAAGTTTGACTCCCCAGTTGTGGCATTGTATCATATGCAGTGAAAAGTTCTTAAGAACTCCAGCTGGTGCCAAACATCACAGGCATTGAAAGTGAAAGTGAAGCAGCTAAATGGAATTCAGCCATGGTTCAGATCATTATTTCCACCTGTGCTTTTCCTGCTGTGACCTGTGGAAATGTGGAAATGTGCTGTGTGAAACAGTCCACCATGCACACTGCAGCTGTGGTGGATTTGTAATGACAGTTACTTCCTGTACTTCCTCCTGCAGGCCCATCCGAGCCATGCCGTTGGTCATGACCAACTCGCTAGGTCAGGTGACATTAAACTCCTCCTCCATCCTCACAACGGGAGTCCCGGTAACGGTAGCCAACGCCTCTGCCGGCGCTCCCCCCAAACTGGTCATCCAGGCTCTGCCCACCATGCTGCCCGCCGGCTCCAAAGCGGGAGAGAAGATCACCATCATCACCATCCCGGCCAACCAGCTGGCTACGCTCATGCAGGCCAACCCGTCGGGCCACATCACGCAGCTCATCCAGGCTAAACCGCTCACTACGCAGTTAGCCACCAAACCTGCCACCACCGCGTCTACGGTGCAGTTAACGGCGGGCCGGCCAACGCCGCAGCTCATCCTGGCTAAACCGGCAGCGGTGGCCCAGCCGCTGCCACAGCTCTCTGTTCAGGTCAGCCAGCCTCATCCCGCCCCACCCAAAACCCCCAACCAGCTCTTGAAGCCCTCCAGCGGTCAGCCCGAAGCAGCACACTCAGAGGCAGCGTCTGAGGCTCCGCCCCCCTCCAGCCCATCTGCAGAAACCCCATCATCCTGAGAGCACCGCCCTGAGCCGGGGCCACCAGTGGGGGTACAGGAAGTGACTGTGGACACTGCTAAAGGAAGTGCAGGACACATCCCCCACCCCCCTGCCACAGAGTTGCTCTCTGATTGGCTCAGACTGTCAGCCTGACCCTGTCTCCAGGGAGACGCCTGCTCTTACTCTGGAGCTGCTGAAGCCCCACAAAGGATTAAAGGGACTGTTGTAGAGACACACACACACACACACACACACACACACACACACACACACACACACACCCTTCAGAGCTCAGAAGACATGGGCAGCCTTAGATTGTAAATGAAAAACTCCTTTTTGTAATCAAATGTAATATAAAAGCCTGACAAGACTTTGTTGTAAACAGAAATGTAAAAAGCATTTTGATACTCAGCAGGTGTGTATCAGTACAGATGTAGTTTGAATTCATCTCTTTGTTTGGGTCTAATGGTTTGTCTGCACACTTGTGTTACTCCACAGCGCTGTCACATTCTCCCCACACTTTTTTTTTTTTTTTTTACTGTTCATAAAAAGGGAGTGAAAGGATGTCTGCGTCAGGATCAGAAAACTAAATGGTGTGCTCCACATCTGAAGTATAATATACTATTTTTTCTTGTACTATCAGTGTATTGAAGTAGATTTTACTGAAATATGTATTATAAAAAAACAACAAATGTGAATTCAATCTGTCTGAAGTCGTGTTATTCAGCTGTCTGAGAAATGAAATGCTAGGTAAGTACTGAGTAAGCGTTGTTGCTGCTTTTTAAAGAAATGCTGAGATTGCATGAAGTACAGTGTACAGGTCAGAGAGGCGCTGTGCTGCGGTCACATGTGGACCTAGTGTACTGTCTGGGCAGCTATTGGCTGGGAGATGACTGTACTGCTCAATTTCTCCTAACTTCAGGTTTTTAAGAAACTGAATAGAAAAACAGGAAAATGTGCTACTAGGAGTTTTCAGCTGGTTCAGTCTGTTTTAATACTGATCTCTTTAAATACGTTGATACATTAACAAACAAGAACACCAGCGAGAACATTGGCTATTCCTATGGTAATGGCAATGCTACCACAGGGCCAGAATCCATAAAAAGTGAAAGTGTTACTGCGGAATCATTTGTAAGTATTTCACAATGTCTAACATTCTGAATGGCTCAAAAACAGTGAAACTGTAAAGGCAGGGTGTCTGCAGGTTCTTAAAAAGTCAAAAGTTTAGTAATCCTTAAAATATCAGATTTTTGACAGGTCTTACAAATGGATTGGATTAATGAAGTTAATGAGGGAACCTCTTGGCGGTGGGGACTACAGACGGTTGCCATACAGCGGAAGGTAAAACCCGTATTTTGAAAAGAAAAACTTAAATGCAAAATACGACAGTTGAAAGTTTTTTTGTTCCCCAGTTTTTAAGAATTATTTGACGTGCCTTCCCAGTTTTGAGCCCCCCCCTCCAATAAATAACGTCTTTTTAACATAGACCGCTCATAGCATATGATCAATTAGGTCAGTATCATCTGATATAGAAATTGGATCAGATCGGTCCTAGCTCTAATTAAAGTAGGTCATTTTTATTAAAATAACTCATTTGCTGAGATTTTCAGTGTCATTGCAGTAGAACATGAGACAGATAATAAGTGGCTCCTCCTGGTGCTCCTAATGTCAGACCCGGAGGAACCTGATTGTTTCACACATTATCTGTCTCATGTACTGCTGTCAGGATATAGTGAGAGTTTCACTGAATATGAATAAAACTACTGTAACTGAAGAGTTTCCTTCGTTTAAACGAAATGGCCCAAAACAGAAAAACTGCCTCACATGAAAGTGTCCACATATTTTTGGCAATACAGTGTATGTACATGAGAGCATGAGCATCAATCTTCAATTGATTAAACCTACATAGCAAACAGTTTGATACGTGGCTGCTATAATACCAGTGTAAGCTTATCCCGTCCCTAAAACCACAATGTGTTTGCACAGACTAAACAAGCAATATAAAACCTGTTAGTGAGCTTTAGAAGTGCTCTTAAGTGGATGTTATTACCTTTGCATGCCAAAACAAAAACAAATTCACAACACAATAATCAAACAGGACAACAATAAGAGTACAAATAATGACTTTATTATATATATTAACATTAACATATCTCCTCCTGCTTAATGTATTCACAGCAACAACACTGTCATGATTACCAATGTCAAACTGAAGAACCATCCAGGATTACTTCAAAGCAAAATCATTTATTTTAAAACACAATAGGAAAGGATGTTGATTATGGTATAACCCACTGACAGAAAGTAGAAAGAATAATTTAAGAACATTAAGTGATAATAATCTGTGCGCATTGGAAACAATAAATAACCACAGTTGGCTTCCAGGAACTTCGGCAGATGAAGCACTTAGCTGCCATTTCAGCTGAACTCCAACTGAATCAAATCCAAACTTAAAACTCTGTTTGTTTTTCCAGCGAGGTGATGTCACAATGTCTCTTTTTCTTTTCCATTATGATGATGTCACAATGTCTCTTTTTCTTTTCCATTATGATGATCTCTAAAATAACATTACAGAAAGTGAACCAGCTTTATGGCTTTGTGTCTGTCTCATATTATTCACGTTCCCATTAGGTTTCACTTGTCCCGCCTTGAATCTGCTTCAATATGAGCACAGAAAGCAGCAGATGCTGTTCCTCTGCTTTACAGTAAAGGTTCAGTATTGTTTCTAGCGGTCCACTATCCCAGCCCTCCTATTGGTCCAGGGCTGCTGTGACTGGCAATCAGCCTCAATCTGTGCGGCTCCTCCCTGAAGGTGATGTCACAGAGCAGTGATAGATGGTCGGAGGGGTAGTGGTAGGAGGGGAGGCGGTCTGGGCCGATCTGCTCCTCTGTAGGAATGTCCAACAGGCACTCCACACTCAAAGCATCGTGGGTATACCAGATGTAGTCCAGAGTGCTGCAGCTCTCTCCAGAGGGGCGGATCTTCCATGTGGTATAGGCCGGCTCCGTCTGTCCGTCAGAGCTCAGCAGCTTGTAAGCAGAGTTCAGGCCGAGGGGGGAGGAGCTGAAGCGCCGGTACACGTCCTCCGAGGGTTCTGCGTTAAAGTCCCCACACACTATTAAAGGCACACTGGCCGAGGCTGCCTCGCTCTGGCTGCTGCCAGCTCGGGACGCTATGCTGCGTAAACTTTGCAGCAGGTCGGCGCCTTGTGCGCTCCGCAACCTCTCCCAGCCGCTACGAGCTTTGAGATGGGTGACGGCCACGCACAGCCGGCGGCCCGTTACCTGGCAGTTCAGCGTCTGGACGATGGCAACTTGGTTGGTGGGCAGCATCATGGCCGACAGCCGCAGGTGAGAGGTAGCCTGGAGGGAGAAGCGGGAGCGGCGGTAAAACAGAGCGCAGCCATCAGGACCATTATTCTGTTCTACATCCAGACAGGGAGACCAGGGTTTGGCCAGGAAGGTGCCATGGTAACCCAGGCTGGCCATGATTGGCTGGAAAGTGTCATAGTAATGGTCCACTTCCTGTAGACACACAATGTCGGGGCGGTAGGTGAGGATCTCCTCCAGGATCAGGTATTTCCTTTCCTGCCAGTTGAGAGCATCCAGTGGACAGCGGATAAAGCCGTCTTTCCCCTCACCAAGAGCTGGAAAGAAGAAGAAGAAGAAGAAGAAGAAGAAGAAGAAGAAGAAGAAGAAGAAGAGCGAGATCAATGATTATACCAAACCAGAACAAGGAGTCATTTCTGTGAGGCTGTACTTGGGCCAAGTGTGAACCTATCGTCACCCACTGGTTTTGGGAGTATCTTTTGAAACCTCGAGTTTGGCATTTTGGCCATCACCATGACAGTTTGTCGGAGCCAGTGGAGGTGATGTACTGCGAGTTGAGCTGCTCTCATTGGCTGCACAGTTTCAACTCGTCACAATAATGGTGGCTCGCCTGGTCACACAGGATTTCGTATTCCAGATAAACAGTACACTAAAATATGTTTGTGAAATGATTTGAGAAGAGAAATGACCTGTCAATCAGAAGGTAGCCCCGCCCTAAAGCACCACCCTGCTTTATGGTCTGTTTTACTCTAAATGGAACCATCAGTTACTAAATGAACATCATGCTGTATGGAAGAAGACTGAAACTAGAGACTGAGACTATAAACTCATTAGGAAACTGTTTACTGAGCTCATACATTGAGTGAGAAGTCTCTCCATTAGACTGCATGGCATAATGTTTTATTGCAGCTAATGGCGCTCCCCCTGCTGGCCTTTACATAGAATGCAGGTTTTTAAACACAGAGCTTCTGGGTTCTAATGGCCAGCAGGGGGAGCTCCATTGGCTGCATAAAAGAAGTCCCCAAGTCTTGTAAAGGCAGGTTTGAAGTCATCAATGTCCGAGTCATGAATCCACAGCTCTGGTATTTGGTCATAAATGATTAACTAACAGATTCAAAAAACAGCTCCTTACTTGAATATGCATAGTGTATATACTTTGATTTAGTCTTATATTTTCTATTTTGTAATATTTAAATTTGTGATATCTTGTTGTACCTCCACTTTTGTACTCTCTTTTGCACTACATTGCCCTGTGTCAATCTTGAATTTCTCCTAAGGGGGATCAGTAAAGGAATATCTTATCTAATCTTAAACTGAACTTCTGACCTGCTGATGGACCAAAGTTATTACAATTCATGTCTGAACCAAAGCAAACTGGATTCTTCACAAATGTATGGTTTACTCAGAGTTGTCTTACCTTGTGCAAGTATATTCCACTGCAGAATCCGTATGGGGGGGTTGTGCTTGTGGCGGCAGGGCGCAATGCCGGTGGGATAGACCAGATCCCGATGTGGCCGGGCCGGACGTCTCTGCAGAGCCTCCTCGCACTCTCTGAGCAGCTGGTCCGGATCGATCTCAGCCAGGTCCTGGTCAGGGTTGTCCTCCAGGTATGGGTCTGGTTGGGCCAAGGGGGCCCTGTTGAGTGGCTGGGCCAATGTACCAAACAACCTGCTGCTGCTACTGCTGCCACCCATTGGACAAACTGATGGAGAGGAAACATGGGAGGAATATGTGTTAGCCACCATAAGCTCGGACCAGACCCAGAAAGGTAGTATCAGCAGAGCAAGTGTGTTTTTATTGCTTATGAATTCAACCTTTCCTTTATAAGTTCTTTCAAAAGAACTTACAGCACTGTGTTCTTCTTATAGAAGTGCTGAGGCTTAAGTTTCTGCTCCCTTTTCTAAAGAAAGGCATGAGTGTGGATCCTGACTATATGATTTTGGAGTTCTGAAAAACCTACTTTGCTTGTTTTCAGTACCATTTGTATGCTATGTCACACTACCCATAAGGCACTGAGAGAGAAAAAGGAAATGGGATTGATCAAGAAAGCCCTCTAGAGTATCTCTGGTGTCATATCTATGGGCTCAGAGGCAGAGCGAGTCTTCTTCTAATCGGAAGGTTGACGGTTCGATACCCGGCTCCTCCCGCCACATGTTGAAGTATCCTTGAGCAAGATACTGAACCACAAATTGCTCCTGATGCTGTGTATGAATGAGTTAGTTTCTGTTCAATGGACTTCACTGAGTGAATGTGTGTGAAAGGGTGTTAAAGTGCTTGGAGTGGTCGGAAGACTAGAAAGACCATTTACCAAATCTTTCACACAGTGGTCTTCCACCAATTTAGCTCTGGTTCTTGAACCAGTTCCATTCCTGTTATTTTTCAGTTCTAGCTGTGAACCAACTCTCTGGGTTCCGAACCAATCTAGTTTTCGGACAAAATGGTCCAAAATGGTTCCCTATTGGTGGAAAAGGCCTACTTGTGACATGGTTTTGGATCTGTAGCCAGATGAAGCCAGTCAGTGGAAGGTGGCATGGTTTTATCACACAAAGACTACCAGACAGGAAGATGGGTTGTGTGAAAACATAAACATAAATACAGACATGCCAGCAGTCGGTTCTGTAGACAGGACAACGGTTTGGAGGCTATTTTTGTTGCTTTACAAGTTTAAGAACATACTGACTAAACATTTGTTCAGACCACTCACTGAAGAGCTGACAGTGAGACAACAAACAGTCCAACAGTCCAGAACATGCAGAGGTAGGAAAGGACACTGACTTCACATCTGTCTCATTTTAAAGAGACTATTATCAGCCCCATATATGGGTCTACAACAAAGTAGAATGGCTTTAGTCAAGGGTTGAGTTGGTGGCTCAGTCTTTAATCTGTCAGAAGTCAAAGATTGTACAGAGACAGCTGTATGTGACTGCTCAGTCAGATGAGAGGAGAGATAGCTCCAGCAGACTGGCTGTAGTAGTAGATAAGTGTTATAGATACAGATGTAGAGACAGAGAAGAAGACAGGGCAATATAATCTTCATTATACTGTAACTTATATAAGACTACTAAACATTTATCTGTCCTCTGAATGAATTTGATTAAACTCCTTTGAAAAGCCATGGGAATTAAACAAACGGGTACAGTTTAATGGCTGAGGTGAATGACATTCAGTCATTTGATGAGTTTTCTGCATACACAGCCTTGGAAAACCCCTCAGACTTGCCAAAATTCAAATGTAATAACCATTCACATGATCTGTAATTGGAGACGAGAGGAAGACATTGGCTGTAGTTGAATAGTAAAAAAATGGCCTAACCACTATTGCCTAATAATTCCAGAGAAACTGAAGGTAGAGCTGCAATGATTCATTGAATTAGTCGGGAACTATTAAATTAACCACCAACTATTTTGATAATCAATTAATAGTTTTGAGTCATTTTAAGAAAAAATGTCCAAATTCATCTTTTTTCATCTTCTAAAATGAATACATTTTTCTGCTGCTGGATCCTTGCTATCTTTCTTTGCATTAACCCAGTTTCCCTCTGACAGCTGTGCTAAAACAGCAGAACCATGTTAGACAGTAGAGCCCTCCCCTTTTACCTCCTTACTGCTGTTCTACTGCTCCAGTCACTGTATGGAACTGTGTGTCTTACCAATGGCCTCCATGTCTGGTCAAATGCTCTCCTCCCTCTTCTCCCTGCTCCTGAAGACCAGAAGATCCTCCTCTGTGTCTGTGTCACTCACTCCGGCCCTCTTCCCTTTTATCTTCTTCCTTTACATAGCTGAATCTCTCTCTCTGTCTGTCTGTCTATGCTGTGACTCATCCTTTATCTGTCTCGTCCTCGGTGTGTCTGTCTTCCTCTCTCTGTCTGAATCATCACTTCCCACCCCTCCCTCCCCCTTGCTCACTCACTGGGTGACAGAATGACCTCTAGAGCTGGGAGACACAGTAAGCCTGTCTCAGACAGAGAGAGAGAGGCGGGAGAGAGGGAGAGACTGGAGGACCAATAAGCTTCCTTTATTGTCAGTCGTTAGAAGGATGAACATGTTCTTCACAGTCAGCATCTCTCATCATTATTTCTTTTCTTTCTTTCTTTCTTTCTTTCTTTCTTCCTTTCTTTCTTTCTTTCTTTCTTTCTTTCTTTCTTTCTTCCTTCCTTTCTTCCTTCCTTTGTCATTAAACATCTTTAGGAGGTAAAAGGAAGATGAAGAAGAAAGGGGAAAGAAAGATAGCCAGGGCCGCAGGGGTGGGTAGGTGTGTATGTGTGTATGTGTGGATAAGGATGTTGTCTAACTTATTAAGTGAGTGAGTGGGTTTTGAAAAGAATGTGCATGTTGTTCAACAGGTGGGGATGGCAGGGTACACACACACACACACACACACACACACACACACACACACACACACACACACACACACACACACACACACACACACACACACACACACACACACACACACACACACACACACACACACACACACACACACACACACACACACACACACACACACAGACAGGCCATGTGTTCTCTGGTTAACTGAGGATAGAGGAAGGAAGAGAGAGAGAGAGTGTAAGTTGTCTCAGTTTGTCAGTGGCACATTTACATTCTTTTCAACACCTGGTTAATTCACTGACCTGATCTTGGGTCAGTGTGCACCGCTTCCCCACAGAGAGAAAAACTTTGTGAAACTGTTTAATCTGTGGGACCAAATATTCCCTGATTTCCCCCAATGAAGGATGGTATTGTATGGAATGTATTTATATGGTGCTTTTCTACCTTAAATAATGAAGTACTACACAATTTTGCCTCTCACTCACACACACCCTCACACTTCAATGGAGCTGGAGATTGAATGGCCAACCCTATGGTTGGTGGCTGACCCACTCTATATGACAGTACCTTTAAGTGAATAACAGGGTGTATAGTCTACTCTGTAGGCCAGGCAGTGGAAGAACTAGGAACAGAATGATTGTCGGCCTGGCCAATATTTAGCATTTTTCCGAATATCAGATTTTTGAAAAATACGATTTCCAATAAAATAAATTCAATGAAGCGCTACCTTGGCACTGATACAGCCGGCATTGGAACATTACCTCTCATCATCAACGATTATCTATTATAGTATGAGGTTACGTTGAAAAAGGTATTGATAACTAATACATCCACTGTAGTACTTACTATCTGTGTGGAAGTTCTTTCTCTTAGTACTCTCCATTTCTCTCTCCATCTCTCACTCACTGAGGAGGACGAGGCATGACATCTCTTTCGTGTCACATGCATGCCAAGTAACGACATTTGGTGCAGCTGTATTGTCAGGGTCCTAACAGAACACCCTACAGTGCCAGAAACAGGTTGTGATAACAAAAAGGAAAAACAAAGTCAACATTTGTCATCACTTGGGAGAATTGTGACCACAAGAAACTTGGAGAGGGCAATGAAAAAATGGGAGTTCCCCAGAAAAATCGTGAGGGGTGGCAAATATCCAGGGTCGCCATCTTAGTTTAGCAGGCTAACATTACCAATTAGCACTAAACACAAAGTACAGCTGAGGCTTGTAGAGTTGGACAAACTGATATTTTAACCTAACGACGGTGTGTCAATAAAAAGTCAGGGAGTCACCAAAGTCTGCACAACATGTAATGCCAATACATTCAATGTGTTATTAGTCAGATATTTCAAATCTCAACCAGCCAACCGACACTGTCGTCCCTACAGCCACTGTCGACTAGAAGCCTCTCAACACAACACAGTGCAAAACAGCACTAACTGTGGCCTCACAGTGAGCGCACCATTGTATGAGCTCCACTCTGACACTGCATCAAAAAGTCAACATTCATAGGCACCGTCTCCTTGTTATAGGCAGGATCATTTTTGCTGTTGCAAATAATGGAATTATTCCATCTTACTTAATAATGACTTAACTAATCATTGTCCTCTTCCTTCAACTTCATCATTAGTACGTAGATATGTGGATCCCAAAGTCTGGATGCTGATCAAACTGCCTCCGTACTGTACTATCAGAGGGGAATGACACTGGCTGGACCACATTTAACAAACAACACCAGTAGATACTTACATGGAATGAAATGGATGAAGGAAACACACACACATACACAACTCTGTCCACGGGTTATCCTTTTCTTCTGCCTGTGGTCCTCTCAGTCATCCCTCGCTCTACCTCCTTCACTCTGTCTGCATAGGCGGACTGAGCGGGAGCAGAGTCTGCTGGATGTGTGCGGAAGGATGGTGTGACTCTCATGAGACGGCCCCAGTGACTGCTGCTGTGGGAGCCACATGAAGGATGTGACTCAGTCACTGACTGGCCCATTCAAGAATTCTCTCTCTCTCTCTCTCTCTCTCTCTCTCTCACACACACTCACACTCACACACAGAGAATGAGAACTCAGTAAACTGGAATGACAATCAACAATGAGCTGTCAGGCAGGCAAAGAATTCCCATTCACTTTGTGTTCATTCTACAGTGAACGTGTCCTGCAGTATTACAGCACCAGGGAAGAGACCCAGAGTGTCCAAACAGTACCTACCAGTCGGAACACTTGAAAGACAATTCTGGGGGCGCACTGGTAGCTCAACTGGTAGAGCTGGCACCCCATGTACAAAGGCTGAGTCCTTGCTGCAGCGTCCAGGGGTTCCGGTCCCCCCCTTCCCCCCCTGCCTCTTGTTTACCTTGAGCTACCCTATCAGTTAAGATAAAAGCCTCGGTTCAACTTGAGAATCTTTTATGAACCTTTTGTCCATCCTCATGAGTCCGTCTGCTCTGTGCAGCAGACACAGAGGGGTTGACTAAGTTGACTTTTTTGCCCATATGTGACCCAGATGAGATTTTTTAAAACACTCTGAACAGCACAAATTAGATTTTTTCAAATCCGATCCAGGCCACTTCCATATGTGGTCCTAAATCGGATACATATTTAAAAGCGACCTCAGTCTGAACGGTTATGTCGCATTTCTTCCGAATTTTCACAATTCAGGAGGCAGGATGCGGCAATATCATAATCATCATAATTTTGTCGGCTTCGATTGCACAAATACTTCAAAATTGACACACACACACACACACACACACACACACACACACACACACACACACACACACACACACACACACACACACACACACACACACACACACACACACACACACACACTGACATGTGTAGCACCCATATTTATGTACGTAAACACAGCGTGGCATCACGTCTTCTTCTACACATGCGGGTCACTTATAATGTGAACAACCACGCAAAAAAACGGGTCTCAGCTAAAAATTGAATTGAGCATTAAGACCTGCAGTGTGACCATAGCCTTACCGCTTGGGTAGCTTCGCAGGCTGTCACCTCGTGACCTGTGGCCCCCTTTTAGGCTAGTAGCCTACCCCAGAGTGGCATGGGGACACTATACCAAAACAACTGTAATGCAAAGCAGACAAATCCCTCCCTCAGGATCCACACTGTTGCACTGGGTGACATGGTTCTTTATTACCATGAACACACACACTATGCTGCCGCTCCAAATACTCACTAGAACACCAAATGTGGATTAAACTGCTGCTGAAAATAGTTCCCCCAAAAAATACACTATTTCTCCTGTTTGGGTAACTAAACTGCTTATGAAATTAATGGCGATTAATTTAACAGTTGATAACTACCCAACGGAATAATCCTTGAGGGCAAAGTTGATCTTTCAGAAGCAATTATATCATATGTTTACACACTACACTACAGAGACATCAGTGCCTCACAAACATCAGACTGTTCTCCCAAGCTGACCATAGAGGCTGACGCTGGTTTTGTTGCACTAGTGTGGGTCCTCACCTTTCTGAAATATCAGAGCAAATTTTCAAGTAGCAATTATTTGAACTAATCAACGTCATATTTGACATCTCAACAATTAATTTCTCGCCTAAAATATCTAAAAACAGCTATGAGTCATCAACAACCATTTTTTATTCAGGTAAAACTGACTGAGCAATAAGCTCTTTTAGGACAATGCTAGGAGTTCACAGGGTTGCTGGTTAATGCTAAATGCATGCTGGGATACTTGTCTAACCCAAGATCAAATGGATTAGAATGGAATGTATTTATTTAGCAGGAAACCTACAAACCAGGCAGCACCATTACTGCCCTGGTGTTTTCTCTGGTGTAGAGAAAAGAGCACACGGTGGTAGAGGTCCAGGTCCAGGTCCAGTGAAGCTGTTATTGAGTAATAAGCTGAGTAGTGCTGGTTACACAGAGAGATCAAATTCCAGGCCATCGTCTCCTCCGCTGTGGCAACCACGTGCCAATTAACTGAATTGCCAGAGTGGTGTATTGGATTAAGTGATAGAGGTTGAAAACTGAATGAGGGATTGTCTTGTTCTGTATGTGACGTTAATCAGACACTGAGCTGCCTGTGGAGCTACTGAATTCCACTGAGAGTCAGTCACAGACGGACACTTAGAGGAGCTTTTAAAGCGTGATACTGGCACCCTTTGTTTGAGCTCAAACCTTCGAGAACCATCACTAAAATCTTTAATGTTGACAATTTTGGCCACTTACCAAGATGAACTGTTCTCCAAATCTGATTAAGCCAGTGTCAATAACATCTGCATGTAACAAATGTAACACCCTCAATCTTATGATCAGACCTTAAACACAGTCATCAGATCAGTTTTAGGATTTATTTCTGTGCTGCAAGATTTAACTATTGAATGGAAGCTAATAGGGGCCTGATTGTCTCTTGACCCATGTCTTCTTTACTGGATGGTTACTGTATATAACAGTCCATGGAGTTAGACTACAGTAAGAAGGCCTCAAGCACAGAAACTGTTTAAGTTTAATTTAAAGCACCATTTTGCTGCTGACTCAGACCACATGCATCTGGGTGTTAGTGTGTGACCTGACCACAGGTATTAAACTAGAAACCTGACCTGTCTACTTGTGACAACACCTAAAGTCGACAAACCTTTAACCGGGTTAGAACTACTCAACCCAAATGCTGGGTCCTGACTGGCTGAGAACCTTCTAAGAACCCGTTTTCTTTCCCATGGACTAAAAAAGCCACCATAGACCCACGTCAGTGTGTCAGCTATCGTTACCAAGGTTATGCTAGCTGGCTAGCTAGCTAGCTGTGTCAGTTAACATTACCCAAGCAAACATACTATTAATTTCTCACGTAACATCACTAACCAAGAATGTAACATTAAAGTTCCTAACAATCTTACGTATGAAACATTGAAATGAGTAGCTAAATGAATAGCTAAGCTTGCTTGGGTAATGCGAACGGTCACATTTTATGGTTTCTTCAGTTCTCCATGACAGTAAACTGAATATATTTAGTTAAAACAAGACAGTTGAGGACATCACCTTAGGCTTTGGTAAAC